ACTGAATATAAAGGTGAAAGTTGATTAACTTACAGAAAGAGAGTCACATTTCAGGTACACAAATGAAAGGGCTGGGGTGGAAGGAGGAGAGAGACTTTGAAAGGCATTTGACAGGGGAAGGTCGTATTCCCCAGGTAGGCCTGTCAAGCAGCTCTGTCGACAACAAAAAGAAGAAAACAAATAAATTGGAGGTTGTGTGAATGTCACAAGACCAGAATATAAATCTGTAGGACATGGAGAGAAGTAAATATCAGTAATTCACATTCTCACAAGGTGTTTTCGGCTGGTATCTTCTAGCTATGCGAGAATGGAAAGGAAACAAAAAAGTAATACATAGGTAGAATCTCCCAGACGTTGGTCTGGCATTCACCTTTGATGCATAACGCTGACCCTTCAAGACACCACAGCAGGCACATCAGGGCCAACTGATGGAAACAAAGACAATGTGTGACAAGACTCAAGACTCCTACATCTAGAAATGGATCTAACACTCAGAGAACATATCATCCCTGTCTAACTCTAACTCATCAAAGAGAATGCAGCCTTCACTCTGAGCAGACAAAGAATGTCTTTAGACAGAAGGTGGAATGTAGGACTTGGGTTTTATTTTGATGCTAACAAACTGTAAAAACATGTGTCTAAAAATTGATTGAAGATGATAGTAGTCATCTTTTTTCCCATTTAAGAAACAACAACAACAACAAACCATCCCAAGCTTGTGTTATCCGTCTGTACATGAACTAAATCTTCCCAGGCTCTTAAAGGCCACCTGTCCTTTCCCTAGTGCCACCCCGTTCTTGTTTGGCTGTGTGTGCAGTGACACCACCTGTCCACCCCAGCCCTGGGTGTCTGGTCCAAAGAAAGCCTTCTTGAAAACCTTACCTAACTGCTTTTTCTCCTGTTCCATGGGCCTCACCTCACTGAATCTAATGGAAGCTCTGGCCTAGAATCCAGGAATGTTGTCCAGAGAGACCTGGCGGGTCTCGCTGCTCATTAACATGAGCTCCTCCTCCCTGCTTGGGAAGTCAGAACACCCTGTCTTCCTGGGGTGTCTGTGGCCTGCCAGCTCAGGAAACGAGACCCTTCGTCTGGCATGAGAAGTCTGGATTCCTCCCTATGGCCATAAAGCCTTCAGTTTTAAGTTTCAATAAATACTAGTCTTCTCAAAGGTGCTAAAGAGCAATAAACTGTCTGATAAAGAAGTTTTGCTCTACCACGTAAATCTGTAGGTGAGAAAAAGAAGGTCCCCCCTCCTGGAGCCTCCTGAGCCCTGGCAGAAGGCTAAGAAATGAAAGTGTGTTGAATGTATTCAGGTTTTATAACAAAGACCCTAGACAAGGGCCTAAAAGCAAAATCCCCAACTCCAAAAGGCTTATCAGTTTCGTAATATTTAGACATGTTTTGATGTACCATGAAAAGTGTAAGAAGTCTGTATGAGATGATTTCTGCTCAAAAGAATCAGAAGTTTTTCATTAACTGGGCCACTTCCTTGGCTCTTTTCTGTTTTCACTAGACTTTCCCTGGATGGTCTCACATTTCTGATGGTTTCAGTGACTTCACGTGTATACTGATGATTAACCAGTGCTCGTCTCCCACTCAGACCTCCTTCCTGAGCTCGAGGCCCATGCGGCTGAGCCTTGAATCCCTGGGGGCAGCATAATTTTCCACTCCCATTCTCCTCTTCCTCTTGTATCTCCCTAAATGTCAGCGCCATCGCCCTGGCAGCTCAAGTCACATCGTCGTGAAGCACCTTCCCGGCCCCTCCCGCCCCTACAGCCTTCATCTCAGAGCCCAAGAATTTGGTTTCCCTCCTGTGGCTTCAGCAGACCCACAGTCTCTCCCGCTGCTAGCTGTGCTAGCTGAGCTCAGGCAGTCACCTTCCTCCACGGATGCATCAGGCCTTCTTGGCTGCTCTTCCCTTCCCAGTCCGCCTTCACAGCCGGCCGGACCATTCTAAAATGCAGTGCAGGTCGTACCATTCCACGGCGCCAAACATCCTCGATGGAAACAAAAGTCGTTTGTGACCCACCTCCCGTCCATCTCTGTAAACACATCTTTCACTGTTTCTTCTCTCGTCTTCTGCACTGGGGCTATGGGAGTCCTCGAATGTTTACTCTGCCTTCCTCCATGCTTTTGTTCCTACCAGTATGTCCTCTACTCTTCCTCACCTCCCTCTCCCAACTGATTACTGCCTAGCCTTCAAAACCCATCACCCTTCCGGAAGTGTCCCCAAGGTGCCTTTGGATTGATCACCCTTCCTGGGTCTTACAGCAGATGAGGTCCTAGTACTTAGTGGTAGTCTAACTTCATTGTCGTCTCTTTCCCCACTGCACTGGCAGAGAGCTCTCTGAAGTCTGAGGCTATGTCTTCTCAGCTGTCAACTCCCAGAGCCATGCCCAGGGTCTGGCTAGTGTATGTCCTCAAAACAGTTTTGTCGGTCGACGAAGAGAAATGCCCAAGAATGAGGTTATATGTTCCTTTGCACCTTCTTGCTGGAAACTAGCCTAAATTAAGGCTCCAAAGAAGTAGATACTACTGTAGGGGAAAAATTCGTTCAAGGAAGACAAACAGAATCAGATTTTAAGATGTGGGTCAGTTAGGCCTGATGATTGGAATGTGTCTTTCATGAAGGCAAAGAGGAGAGTCTTGGCAAGTGCCAACTTCACAGCAGCCTCTGGGGCCAAAGACAGTTATATGGGAGACAGCTGGACCCTGGGCACTTGCAGACAGACATGAGCAGGAGTGTATGAGCACATGTTTAGGGACTTAACACTCTGCAGAGAAGCAAGTTGAGAAACCTCCATCTGGTTTGTTGCCAATAAACAAACAAACAAACAAAAAAGGAGGTCTTTTTTCTATTGTTTCAGTGCTATAAATTCTTAATGTGAAAATACATAATAAGCCTCTCCAGGCCTGATCAAGCTTATACCTCAATTAGATCATTTTAAAAAATAAATTTTGAGAAAGCCATCCCTGACTTGGGAATGTCCACCATGTTGTGGGCTGCACACGTAACTTCAGGGTCATTACTTCTGCACCTGCTAGTGCTTTGGCCGAAAAGCTGCCTCCCTGGGTCCTACCTACTCTGTTTTCCACCCAGCTCTCTCCAACCTGGGCCATACTTATGCATTTTCATGCTGCATCTCTCCCCTGGGAATGTCACTGTTAAGTTATCAGCCGTCCTAATGATGGAAAAGCCTGTACTAAAAGGAGGCTTCGCTTTTGGCTTCACAGCCCAGTAGAAACCCAAACAACTCTCAACTTGGGAACCTCTGAGGCCACAAGCAACTTATTGATTATGTTCAGGGGAGAATAGGATAGAAGCATTACCTTCAAATGCTATGTTGGCATGGTAAATAAACAGCTCTCCTCCCCTGGGGTGTAAAGCTAGCCCTAGGGGTAGAAATATCACCAAACCAGTCATTTACTGACCTGCTAGGCTACACTTCCAACATCTGTCTCTAGGAAACTTGTGCTTATCAGAAAATACAATTCTGTTGCTTTTGGTTTCTGTCCTGAAGTAGAACTTAGCAACATTTTGATCTTTCCAAAATTAAGTGTGAATAGATACATTTGATAAGAAAACTCTAAATCACATTTATGAAACTCTAATGCAGTAAAAAAAAAGAGAAAAATCTGGTTTGACAAAACAGTTGAGTATCTTTTTCTCTCAAAGTTGTCATCCTCCTCCCAGCCTTCTCCTTCCCTTTGTGGCACTTCCTTTCTCTCCCTGGCCACTGTCCTCCTGTCAGTCGTGCTGTAGCCACGATGGGCAGATTCTACTGGACTGTACCTTTCCTTCTGCCTCTTTCTCTGACTTTGCCTGCATCATCTCAGCTCTGGCCCACCTGATAGATTAATTTTGCTTTGATTAGTAAAATGATATCCCGGCATTCTCACCACAAACCCACCCAATACCACTGCTCATCTTTCTGAAACGTGTCTCGAATCATGTCATTTGTCTGGTCAAAGAATTTTAAGCAAGTCCCATTACTCCCTAAATTAATCCTACATCCCTGGATTTTTTTTTTTAACTATGTTTTTAAAAGTATTTATTTATTTGAGAGAGAGAGAGCATGAGAGGGGAGGAGGTCAGAAGGAGAAGCAGACTCCTCATGGAGCTGGGAGCCCAATATGGGGCTCTATCCCAGGACTCCAGGATCATGACCTGAGCCAGAGGCAGTTGCTTAACCAACTGTGCCACCCAGGCACCGCCCCCCCCCCCCCCCCCCCCCGGATTTTTAACTGACCGTTCTGCTCTATATTTTGTTATTTCAACTACAGTTATATATTGGCTACTCTTCCCCCACAATTGGCGCCAGCCTAGCTCTGTGCGATTGCTTGGGCTATTCGCCCAAACTACCTCGTATGAGTGCTGGTTTCATTATTTACTAGCTTTGTACTTCTGTTTCCTCATTTCTAATATGAGGATCATAAGCACCTACTTCCTCGGGTTTTGTGATGATTGCACGAGGAAATCTGTACAAAGCCCTTCGAAGATCACCAGCACAAAGTCAGTAGTCAGTAAACGTCCACGATCATTATCGCGATTATCATCATCCCTTTCAAGGACCATTTCAAATCCACCTCTTTAGTGAAGTCTTTTTAAATTGCCCGACTCAATGTTATTTTTCCCTCTTTTTGTACTTCTCTGAATGGCATTCGCCATATATAGCCCTGCCTTAGAATAGTGCCTGCACTTATCTCGGCCTCGACTGGACTCTACCCTTGCTGAGGATCATTGTGTACTCTAAAGAACCTCGGACAGCACCTGACGCATCAAAAGGGCTTAATAAATACCAGGTCAATTGAAAGAAATTGATTTTACTATTTTAAAAAGACTGTTCCTCAAGCCGAGAAAGGAAGAACACAGACAGATAAGTAAATGAAATGAGCACCTCGATAACAAGGCTGTTACTGGGGAAAGACGCTGAGATTGATGTCATGAGAATGCACGACTGTCCCTGATAACACCCTTTCGTCCCTGTCCTCCCTTGCAGGTCTGCTTAGTGGCCTATCTTGGTTTGTTTATGCTTTGTGTTTCATATCAAGTTGACGAAAGGACATGGATCCAGTTTGCTATGAAAGTAAGTTGTCATTTTTCTTTCTCTTTTATCATCACATAGAAAAAAACCCCACAAGTACAAAATAAAAGAATGCTTTTTAAGGGGTTGCATATCAGATTATTCTAGAAATTGCATTTTTACACAGGCCAAAAAAATGTTTTAGGAGCGCATTCCTCCAGACCCCAAAGGTAATGCTGATTTTTTTTAAAGTCTTAATTTCCATGCACTAGGTTGGCTCAGAGCATATGAAATCTGTCCTTCAGTGCCCTTATAAGGAATATTGAAAATTCATCAGTTCAGCAAAATACTTGGCCAGGGAAAAGGTGTCTCTATTAGTTCCTACTTCCATATCTTGGGGGTTTTTTAGAATATTTTAATAACGAGGCAGTCTAAGTGTATTTCCTCTTGTAGGTGGGATCACTGAGACAGAAAAAGTACATTGGGTGCATCCAAATGATCTGTGCCAAGAGTCTGAGGGTAAAGGTGGGGTGGATAGGATTTGCATGGTTTGACAAGTGTGTGTCTTTCCCATGCATGTATTTTTTTTTTCTTCCATTAAAGATGGTGCATTTGGTTGGAACCAATTCAAGTACACAGCATTTTCACTACACAGTAAAATCTGCTCTAGAGGGAAACAGAGACACACCCTTTTAGAGTTTAGGGAGATAAACACCCAACTCAGCAATCAGAGCTAGTAGAAATCAAATTCCTACATTTTCTTTCAACTATTTGTAGCAGAGAACAAAACGGTTTCTGTACTGTTAGTTCGTTGAGGGTTTTGTGTATGTGTGTGTGCTTGTGTGTGTGTCCATTCACACTGTTTACTTTTCTTTTGTAAGAAAACACATAACTGGATACTTCTTTGTTCAAACAAGAAAACAGCACACAAGAGTAAGTCAGCTCTTATTTAGAAATTAAGAAGATGCAGAAAAGATATTTTGTATTCTAGTATAATTGAAGTGGTTGACATAAAAAAGCAAAATGCTTATATGTATGTGTATTTAAATCGTGTTGTAAAAGAGTAATTAATGGAATGAAAATGTTCACATTATTTTAAACAGCCAAAATAAGCTGGCTCCACAAAATGTATGGTATCATCCTACAGAATTAAAAAAAAAAAATAGCTCTTAGTGCAGAGAAAAAAATAGTTATCTTTGAGTGGTGGGAAGACAACTGCAGTTTGTAGTCTTTTGCTCTAATTTTGTAATGTTCTCCAATAGTTAGATCTAACTTTTCTAATTAAACAAAATAAGGGATTCTATTTTTTAAAAATAGATAGAATTTCATGGATATGCCTACATTTGGAAATTTTACTTTTTCTGAGGGTGTTTCTTAAAAGAAGGCAAGATAGAGCAGACATCAGTCCATGTTTACTTTTTTTGTAGAGGTCTGACTAAACATAGCAAAGTTTAGTGATGATTTAAAAAAAAAAAAAAAGCCAGAAAGCCTAGTAAGAAGTGCCCTGTTAAATTACAGGAACCTCTTTCACTAGGGTAAAAAGTGTTCTCTGCTAGGTTCATCCCCTTATGTGAAATGCCCTCGTTTCCCCTCCAGATGACCCAGCAGAAGCACCCGCATCAGCTTCAGGGAGACCCCGGAAGCCACCTCAACACCTGCACTTAAAATAAGGAGCAAGGACAAAAATAAAATAAAATAAAATAAAATAAAATAAAATAGTCAGTGCCAATGTCGGCCAGGTTGAGAATTCCCCACTAGGAAGATCTCATTAGCTACCTTTTTTCCCCCCACCTGTGACAGACATTGACAAATACGAAAGCACTTTTCCCTTCTCCTGAATGTGACCTTTAATGATGCTTGCTGACAGCTCTCTAAGGTGCCCGCTATATTATCTTCAGGTCTAAAAGGAGCTTCAGTCAATCTCCAGGGTTTCCAAAGGCACAACAAGTTACAGCCGACTTTCCTTGTGCCTCCACATCATTGCAAGGTGGGGGGGGGGGCGGGGGGTTATGAAATGCATCTTGGTGAGGTGCTTCTCACTAGCATAACCGCATTTTCGTGCCTGCCTGTTGATGCCCTGAGCTTTGTTGCAGATTCCCACCACCCCCCGCCACCGCCCCACCCCGCTGTTGTTAGAGACCCAGATGGCCCGGGCGGTCGCTCAGGGGGATCACCGCGGCTCTCTGCAGCCTGAGCACGCGCGCACGCAGACACCGCTCCCTCGCTCTCGGAGGCAACAGCCACGGGACTTGTTCCACCTCCCGCGACCACTGGCCTCCCGGCGACGCCGCTGGCGCGCTCCTTCCCTCTCCCCGGGCCCTGCCGGCGGCCTTGGCGGGGTCCTCGGGGCCTGGGCTTGGGCCTCCTGCCTTTCCTCGTGGCCCCGTCTTCTCGGGGCTCACCTGGCCGATTTTCAGAAACGTGTGCGGGTCTCGTGCTTGGCGGCCCTCCCGGGCTCATTCCCCGAGAGAATTTTTGAGGCGCGGTCGCCGCGTGCCCCCGGGCATAAGGCCCCCGGGCTGCCGCCGCTCCCTCTGCTGCGGCCTCCCGGCTCCGGCCGCTGGGGAGGGTCATTAAATCGAAGCCGCACCGCCCTGCTCCCTGAGGCTGGCCGGGTACCCATCAGAGGCTGCGAGCGAGCGGGGCGCGCCGGGCGCCGCTGTTACATAAGCGCCGGGGCCTCGGCACCCCCGCCTACCCCGCGGACCCCCACCCCTTCCCACCCTCGGGTTTGGGCGCCAGACACGCGGGCCGACGCGGACAAGACAGATGCGTCCCGGCCCTGCTTCTATCAGGATGTATTTGCTCGCATTCCCAAGGTCATCGCCCACACTTTCATGGGTAGTTTATTCGTGCCGTGTAGGTAAAACAAGCCACTCGATTTTAAATTACAGATTCTCACCCAGAAGCTTGTTGCTGTCAGCTGAAGTAAAAGCAACGGTAGCTGTAGCGCAGGCAGAGGTAGCCCCCAGGCTTGGGGGCGATCAAATATGTATTCGTGTCTTACACGGATAAGAAATTTGATTCTATGGCTCCCACCTGTTGACTGGGCCTGATGCTTTCACAGGGTGGGAGAAGCAGAGTCGCAGCGGGTGAGAGACACCCCGATGGAAATGCGTTCACCTTCCAAGGGCTGAGTGGCTTGGCTTTTGTTTGTGCTCTCCTTGGCTTCTAGCATCTTAAAGATGCTCAATTAAGATTGAGCAAGCCCTGTGTGTGTGTGTGCGTGTGTGTGTGTGTGTGAGAGAGAGAGAGTTTACATCCTTTCTATGAGCCAAGTATGCCTGTTACTCCCGCGTGACAGAGAATAAAACAAAGCCAGTAGAGTTGATATCCTAAGAGTCTGGAGAACTGGCAGCTCTCTCCATCTCTAGTAATTTGTTTATGGATTTCACAAATGCTTAAGTAGTGCTAGTTTGTACTAGACACAGTTCTAAACCCTTGACAAATATCAGCTCTTTGGGTGCTTATAATAACCAAGGCTTAAAGGTGATCATCATCCCAAACTTAAAGGTGAAGAAATGTAGGTACACATGGGATTGATTAGTTTGCCCTAGGTCCGTAGCTAAGAAGGGGAGAATCAGGATTCCAATGTGGGCAGTCTGGCTCCCCTGTTTGTACTCCTGACCATCGCTCTGCTGTGCACTTGGTAAATGTCTCAGGCAAATCTTTTGATATCTAAACCAAAAGGTGATCTTTTAAAAATAGGCAAAATTCTCATTTCAGCAAATGGATTTCTGTGATTACAAGTGAATCCTCTTCTTGCAACCATCCGAATTATTTGCAGATTGAGAAGAGGGATTATTGTCATTGCTTCAAGATACTGTCCCACTGAATGTTACAGAGATCTACTGAGGATGTATGTGTGTGTTGGAGGTAGGAGGGTTATTGAAAGACCTCCTCAGTTCCATCCATTGATGGCAAGAAAATGTGCAGACAAAACTCCAGTTGGGGCCATTCTACTAAGCAGATGACTCTCAGGTGGGAAATTATCCCTTTAATTTGGGCCTTCCCTGCTGGTAAAGGCACCAATGTATCCACGTCCCCAAAGCAAATAGTTCCCAGTTCCATGCTGCCTGCACTGGAAACACGGCTCTGGTGGGCACACTTTAATCTGGCTCTTGGTATCAGGTGTTTGAAGTCGATCATCAGACCCAAAGATTTCGGAACCACCTAGAATATTTCATATATTCTGCCCCGATGGTCCCACAAAAATAAACTCATACTCTTTAGCCTGGGCACTATCGTGTTTGCAGAAAGCATGGCCACTGAAAATTTAGGGAGAGGATGAGTTCAATAGCACATATTCAATCTTTCCTTTTTAAATTTTTAATGGTTCAGGTGCCTGGGTGGCTCAGTGGGTTAAAGCCTCTGCCTTCAGCTCAGGTTATGATCTCAGGGTCCTGGGATCAAGCCCCGCATCGGGCTCTCTGCTCAGTAGGGAGCCTGCCTTCCCCTTCTCTCTGCCTGCCTCTCCGCCTACTTGTGATTTCTGTCAAATAAATAAAAATAAAATCTTAAAAAAAATTTTTTTAATGGTTCCCATTAGTATTTATCTGCTTCCCTTTCTCCAAGGGAGACTAGACAAGTTGCATAGAAGTTCTCCTTGTTGTGTCCCTGAGATAGAAGATATTGCAATAAACTGTTTCACAGATGAAACAAGTGGGTTCCAACTGACGATTCTTCAAGTGATTGAGGAGGAAGGCTAGTGTACGTGTTTACGATATATTTGATGAGAAAAATCCGGAGAAGCCGGGCTTCTCCTTGGTTGTGCAGCCGTGCTAAGGCAAGATGGTTTAGCCAGTGGGTTCCACTCCCCTCCTGTGCCCTCAGTCAAGCTTTCAGGCAAACCAGACTCATGATTAGGGCATCAGCACACATGCACACACACAAGAAAGAAAAAAAATACATTTTTAAGTATTCCGTGTTTAAGACTTGAAAGCACTTGAAATTGTCACCATTTGAAGAATCACTCGGAGGACTTTTCTTTTTTTTTTTTTAAGATTTTATTTATTTACTTGACAGAGAGAGAGATCACAAGGAGGCAGAGAGGCAGGCAGAAAGAGAGGAGGAAGCAGGCTCCCCACCGAGCAGAGAGCCCGATGCGGGGCTCGATCCCAGGACCCTGGGACCATGACCTGAGCCGAAGGCAGAGGCTTAACCCACTGAGCCACCCAGGCGCCCCACTCGGAGGACTTTTGAACCCATGTTTTATAATCTGAGTTATGTGTTTTTATTTTATTTTATTTTATTTTATTTTTTTTAGATTTTATTGATTTATTTGACAGAGAGAGATCATAAGTAGGCAGGGAGGCAGGCAGAGAGAGGAGGAAGCAGGCTCTCCGCGGAGCAGAGAGCCCGATGCGGGGCTCGATCCCAGGACCCTGGGATCATGACCTGAGCCGAAGGCAGGGGCTTTAACCCACTGAGCCACCCAGGCACCCCTATGTGTTTTTATTTTAAATGACAAATCGCTGGAAGTGGAGAGAGTGCATAATCTTTTCAGAGCTACTTTAATCTGAACCTGGACATGAGTAGAATTAATCTTACTTTGAGGAGTTCACCTTCACCAGAACTACTCTATGAGCAGCTTTTAACTATGGATTGCAAATCTCACACAAAGAACTGGGCTCAAGTGCACCAGTCCCAACAGCTGGGGACTCTGTTCCTTATCTAGACCCTCAGCAGGTGGGACCACGAAGAGAAATGTTTCCAGTAGGTCAGTGCACTCCCAGGAACATTTCTTGTTCTATAAAATGCTTTAAATGGTGACCGTGTCAATAAGCACTCTCAATTTTTGATCAACGCATTTCAGGTGTAAGCTAAATGTCCTCTTCAGGGATTCCATGGTTCTTTAGCAGCAGAGTTTAGCTCTTGAACCAGACTTTTCCATCACAAGGCTGTCACATAGGCCAATGGTGTTCAGAATCTCTTGGCAGCTATAAAGGGCCATTTGGGGTTTATTTTTATGCTCAGGAACTACATGGTTATAGGTGATGAAGCTGACATTCATTCAGTCATCTACCTTCTGGAACCATAATTTTTTTCCAGCAACCTCTCACTGGGGATCCTGACATTCCTGGACACAGGTTGGCAATCACTATATTGAACACCGCTGTTTTTATTAACCCGCATTGCCAGTTGGTCAATCACAGCCACTTCTGGCCAACACAGTGTTTCCGTTGCATACGTGTTCTTTACTTCCCAGTCTTTTTGCAGGTGAGCAGTTTTTGAGGTCCAGAAACAGTCACAGCCTGCCTTTCAGGGACAGCTCTCATGTTTGGGAGTCATCTAAACAGGCTGCTACATCCAGAAACATCCCAAGCTAACATTGTTGGCTCAATCTAGGAAAAGCACCCAACATCCGTAAGGCAAATCAACATAGGATCAGGGCTTAAGGACTGATCATGATTAAATCAAATTCCTCTGCCTTGGGGACTCCGTTTCTGAGGCGAAAACAGCCCCTCCCTCAGGACCTTCCTGATGAGAGAAGAGAAAGCCCAGCTTTGATGCATTAGCTTTGTCACGAGTCATCCCGTGTTCTTTGGTAACTGGAAGGGTTCTGTTCTGCTTTCTCGCAGCTGTTGTACTTTCTGCTGAGTGCCGTGGGCCTAACAGTCTGCGTGCTGGCCGTGGCCTTTGCTGCCCACCACTACTCGCAGCTCGCCTGGTTTTCCTGCGGAACGGCTCTCGACGCCTGCCACTGCAAGGTGCCCTCCGAGGAGCCCCTCAGCAGGACCTTTGTGTACAGGGATGTGACGGACTGCACCAGCATCACGGGCACTTTCAAACTGTTCTTGCTCATCCAGATGATTCTTAACTTGCTCTGTGGCCTTGTGTGCTTGCTGGCCTGCTTTGTGATGTGGAAACACAGGTACCAGGTTTTTTACGTGGGGGTCAGAATGTGCTCCCTCAGGGCTTCTGAAGGTCAGCAGCAAAAGGTCTAACGTTCTTGCTCACGGGTGGGAGACGAAGCAGCCCACTGCTGAGCTGAGGTCAAAAAAGAGAAAGGGAAGGAAGAAAGAAAGAGGAGGGGAAAAAAAAACAAAAGGAAAAAAAAACTTTTGACAGTAACTAATAGTCACTGTTCTAAATGAATATTTTTGTATTTTTCAGGAAATAAAAGCATCTCTTCAGGTTTCCATAATATTTTTAAAAACTCTTACAGGGAAATTAACATCCAAACTGACTTTGGGACATTAAAAGAACACGGAACAGGGAAAGACGACATGTCTATCTTTGCCGTCTGGAGTTTATCCCTCCTATAGCTGTCCCCCGCTTCCTGAAAGTTGAGCAGTCCCATGAAAACTTTTGTAAACCGAAATGGTGTAAAGGGAGAGGCTGTTCTGTAGAAGCAAAAAAATCTTCAGCTTTCTTTCAGTTAGCAGAAATGGATGGTCATCTAGATAGTTTCGGAGAGTGGGGAAAACCTGTCCTCATTTTATTCCTCATTTGTATAATCTTCTTTCCTGCAAGTTCAGGTTATAGTGTGAATTGGCATTTCAGGCCCACGTCGTAAATTTTGCCGTCTTTTCCAGAACCTCCCACCTCCCTCCATGATCTGCCCTAAGTCTCAGAGAAAGGCAGGGGTGGGGGAGGAGAGCTGAACAGCCAGGTTGAGCCTCTCTATTTTCGCTGGTGGAGATGTCTTCAAGGCATGAAACAGCTTGAAGGAGCAGAGGAGAAGAGGAAGAGACTTCGCAAAGGCGCGATAATTATAAACACCTGGGCTGGGCGGAGGCCCTTTTTTCCTTAGCTCCCTGAGTTTGGCTCCACAAATGGATCCCTTGCTAAATGCTTTGGATGATTGTCTGCTTCTCAATAATTGAAAGTTGGTGGTAGTTGTGTTCTTAATGATGTAGAAGGCTCAAAAATAATTACATTATGCTTCTATTCTATCATCTAAAACAAATCATTAAAACTAATTTCTACCTAATTGTTAATTATAATTATGCTCCGAAGCCTACTTAATGAGCCCTGGCTGTTCTTACGTAGTAGCACCATCAGAGAAATTACTCTCACAAGAGAGGAGGCTTAAAGATTCTTTCTTATGAAAGCCAAGCTTGACAAGGGAGAAGAGAATTTTTTTTTTTTATTAATAGCTCAGGTTAAAAATACTCATTTAAACAAAAGCAAGAGCATTTGTAATGGGTGATGTTTGTACAAATAGCACATTTGTGATATGTTGTGGAGTATCTCTCTTGGCAGCTAAGTCCTTTTGAGGAAGACTGGGGATGGCCATGCGTTCCATTCATAAAAGTGTATCTGATTTGTAATCCTACTATTGACTTGTAAGCACAGTTCCCCCGGAGACTTCAACTCCTGTTTTGAAGTCCTGACTTAAGCATCTGCCCGTTGACTTGGAAGGTAGTTTTTATTTTGTTCTGTTTTTAAGTTACCATGACTTTAAAAAAAAAAAAAAAGCACAAGTACCCTATGGTGGGAATCTTTTCTCTCTTATTATCAAGTTTTGAACAATATCCATGTTTTAAGGACAGAGCTCAGAAGGCAAATTCATACAGCATAAATGTTATCAAGATCTTTCTCTACTAGCATGCTCTAGTGAAATCAGAGATTCAAGATAATAATGGAGATGAATTTGCCTCTCCACATTGCCTATTGATAGACTCCACTAGTCATGAAATTCAAACCTAAAAGAAAAGCATTTTCTTGTTTGCCTTAGAAGATAGTCGAACAATCCCATTGATTGCGACAGTAGTGTCAATTTCTGCACAATATAAATATCCAAGTAAAGAGAAAAACGTTAAGTCAGTTGGAGGATTGTAAATAGCTTTTACGTTCTCCAGATAAAACACCTGATTAAAAGATGTGAAAACCTTTTTTATGTATTGACTCGCTTTAAAAATGGCCTTCCTGCACAAGAGCTCAGGCCAAGAATTCACATTGGAGGGCTTAGTGGATAAGACTCTGGGGCGGAGGTTTGATCACACACAAAAACTACAGCATCCTGATGACGACCTGATAAATACTCTGTGCGCTGTTAAAAAAACAATACCAATAACTGAATGCATTCTGATCTGAACAGTTTCCTACATAAGGAAGAAAATGGCTGCTTATCTGAAATATTATAGCTGTCCTGTAGAGCGTGATTTAATGCTGATCACTATGAATAGGGCACCACTGGAAGCACACCCTGATTTCTTTCAACAACTTTTTGTAAAAAGCAAACACTACAGGTCTTATATTAGAAAATTAAAATTCTTCACCAAAGTGCTCGGTGCTTTACATACGATTCACAGGGTATTTCAAAGGGTAGAATAACTTTAGCTTATGTGCTTTCTTTTTCTAAATGATGCCACCAGGCAGGATTGACATAAGTTTGATAATAATCAGGATATATATATATATCCTGATTATTACATTATTACATTATATATGTGTGTATATACATTGTATATATGTAAATATGTACATATGTATATATGTACATATATACATGTATATATGTAAATATGTATATACACATATATACATATTATATATGTGTGTATACACATATGTGTATACACACATATATAATGTAATATACACATATATACACACACATATATAATGTAGTAATGTAATAATCAGGATATATTAAAATCCCCAGTACATACATATATATGTACTGGGGAATTTTGCTATTACGTAATTAAATCATTCTTAAATTCCTAAAAGAGGGAAAAAATAATCATAAGTGAAAGAAGGAACAAATAAATAAAACAGGAAAAGAAAACCGAGAAAGGAGTCCCCTGCTGTGAACTGAGTATTGATATGTGTAAGAAATGTGTTACATGAATAACAAACTGCTTTGCGCTGGATTTAAAGTATTTTGAGGTTGTGTTTTGCAAATATTGAAGTTATAATAACGGCAACAGAAAAGGAACAGATACACAGCTTTACACTTAGCAAAATGTTACATTTGAAATCTGACAAGGAGCCAAGATGGTGACTGTCTCTTCTAAACCATAAAACAGTAAGATTTGCGCAATCCTCCTCTTCTTCCACCTCCTTCAGGAGAATTAAATGAATCAAGACTTTGGAAAGAGGAGAAACTGCCGGGACTTGGCAGTACTTGAAATAGGAGGAATACAGCAGCCTAAATGTACAGACTTTGTAACTGAGCCCACTCGATCGGTCTGTGCCTTCACGTGACCGCCGCCATCTGTGCCTCCCTCGCTCTGTCCAAATCTGTGGAGGCAGCTCCTTGGAGCCAAGCCTAAAAATATAGCTATGCCGGGCCCTAGAAACTGTAGTCAAGTAACAGGCCTGACTTTGTGCTCCCCTCTTTGAATTAAACGTCTATATGATCTCTTTGGAGGGGTTTCCAGCTGCAATGGCAGCGGGTTCCAAGAGTGAGGACCAGTGCTATGTGTGTTCTCTATTCACAGCTGGGACATCAGAATCTCTAAATACTCTTGTACTTCCCTTCTTGCATGTGTTGTATCTGGAATATGTTTATAGATTGTTAGTAAAGCGTGGGGTAGAGGGTATCCAAGGAAGGTTCTGGAGGACAAGGTGGGGCAGTCATTGAATCAGGAGAAAACTTCCAAGTTGCCCTGGAAAACCGGTGCTATCCTGTCACAAAGCCCACCTTTCCATTTTCTCGGGACTGCCTGTGAACTACTGCTGGGTCGCTATTAACTTCCGTCAGTTGTGCTGGCTATCCATTTTTACCAGACTCTGAGAACTCTGTCCTGTTTCTGAACAGATATGGAGTCTTCAGGGCAGCGTTAAAAAGAGCTGCTGCCAAATATATTGACTCCCAGTGTAAACATTTGTTCGGCTGAAGGCTTAGTGTTTCAGCCTGTGAAATGGATACCTTGAGTCTTCTTTTCTGGTTTTCTACTATTTTATTATTTTGAATGATTATCCCCTTCAAGAATATTGGTCTGCCTTCTGTTGTTGTGATTGCATTTTTCTGGCATTGATGAAACAGTGACTAGAAAACATAGTGCTTTCCACAGGTTTGAGGTGGTCATTTTTCAAGGGGATGCACATATGCAGATTTTCTTTATTAATAAAATTTTCATAATCTCTGCAAACACCTTGTTTGGATTTGTTTTGAAGGACGTTACACGTGAACTTGTATACATAAAATCTCTCAGATGAGTGTTTGCTTCAAAAATTTGGTTTTGGGGGACGTCTGGGTGGCTCAGTGGGTTAAAGCCTCTCCCTTTGGCTCGGGTCATGATCCCAGGGTCCTGGGATTGAGCCCCACATCGGGCTCTCTGCTTGGCGGGGAGCCTGCTTCTCCTCCTCCCCTCTCTCTGAAAAAAAAAAAAAAAAATTGGTTTTGGGGTGGATGAGAACTGGTATTCATTTTGACTTCATTGTTCCAGTGACTGTCTCTGTTTTGGTACATGGCACCCACCGTGGAAGTCAAGGTTATAAATGCTCCCTGGGGCCGGAGAGAGCCAGAGCTGAAAAACATCTTGCAGAAAATACTCAGAATGCTGATTCTTAATTTATGTCTGTTAATGTCAAGTAAAGCTTGGCCTAGAGAATGGAATACAAGTTTGAGTGCCACATGTTCAGTCATATCCTACATTTAATTATACAGAAAAATGGACAGCCTAATTCCATTTCAAATCTGAATGTAAGGACTGCTTCTTAGAAACTCTGAGGCAATTTAAATAGTTGATGATACCATACAATGCAGTAGTTCTTCCTGTTTATTTGAGTTAGAAAAGCTTGTAGAATGGGAAGAGACTGTTATCACGACTCAGGATACACTCTCTGAGCTGGACTTCCCATCCTTAGTGTTAGGGCTGCAGGTCCTGGGGTGGAAATCTGACGGCTGTTTTCTGGCTGCATGACTTTTGACAAACCATTTCATGTTTAGCTTCCCCATTTGCAGAGTAGAGAAAAACATAACACGGGGAAAGTTAAATGAAATAGCACTTAGCAAAGTGACTGGCTCAGAGAGAGCTTAAAAAACATCTGGTTGATTCCATCCTTAGCTAAGTTCTGCATAGCCCTATGCCACTTCTCCTGTCCCCACATCCAACTAGAAACATAGCTCTGCTT